GGAACACTTCCCTGATTTATTGAATGAGAATGAGTGATACAAGGGATGAAATAAAAGTACATGTAAAATAAAAATGCATCAACAATTAATTTTTTGATGGAATTCCCACTAAGGTAGAGATGAACATGTTGAATATGTTGTAGAATTTGATGGCCTTATGAAGATAGCGTTGGTAGATTTTGGCTTTCGCTCGGAAGATTTGTAACGCCTGAGCTCTGCGGCTAGTTTATGTGGTGAGTCAAACCTCACATCTTGTTGGCGAATTTCGGCCAAATAAACCTGCAAAAGTGTCAGAAAGATAATATAGCTCGAGACGTGTCAGACGTTGTCCTCAAGAAAGTACTTCCGACTAGCGAAAACCTTTCCCCAAGATATAACGAGCTCTTCGGCGTAAACCGGTAACAGAACAACGAGAGTGAAAATTATATTAATCCAACAGCGTGAAAATATTAGGGGATGTTTAGCTCAAATTAATCTCGTTTCCAGCCAGCTTTATAGCCTGGCCGATCACACATATATACTTAAAACTCCAGCAAATGAAAGCTAGAAACGTACGTTGCCAACAGATCGAGTAAAAAGTTACTCCGCATCATTTAAGACTAACGTCTGTATTAGTAAATAACATGAACGTTATGATGTAAGGTGACTCCCACGTACGTCCGTGATCATAATAAACTTAGTATCTAAGAATTAAACATTTACATATAGCATGCAATAACTTTGTATGAGCATGACCGTTGGAGCACTTCCAATATAAATGGACAGAGTAAATACTTAACAGTAATATTGAAAATACTCAATGAACATTTATTTGAAATAATTTTTTAATAGAATATACGAAAATATTTAATTTATAAAGTATTTTTCATTTGAAATAATTCTATTTTTCCAAAACATCTACCGGATATAGATAGTAATTCATCTCGTTTTGGGGTCTGAGAGTGACTTCTCGTGATCATGGGGTGTGAGGAGTGAGTACCCACCTCGTAGAATTGTTGCGTGTCTTCTGCATTTGCTATTTTGATCGAGCTATTGATTTTTTTCCTTTATGCTTTTTACCTACGTAAAACCCTCAAGACAAACGTCTACGTCGGGAGGTTTTACCTGAAGTACCTGTAGAAATCTATTTTTCACTTCTGTGTATAAGAGAACATTGATGTTTTTCCGCTTTTGTGTAACTTGTATCCCACCCATCTTTCTCTGGTGCTTGGATTTGTTTCATGTTGCCAAATGACAAAACCTACTTGTGTCTATTCCTCGCCTCATGAAGTATACCAAACATAAATCTAACCATAATTTACTTCTAACAGACTGAGAAGTGGTCAGTTGGTCACTAACGATTCCGCTTGGGTATGACCATGTTGCACTTTCCAATTTCCTGCATTTGCCTATATAGAGATATGGCATTATTCTACGACTGCAATTCAAAAAAGTATGGGTTTGATTTGGACACGACCCCTAAAATTAATCTGCAAGTAATGGAGAGATTGCTCAAACTTTTAGATTTCTTTCGTTTGGCGGATTTTGTTTATTTTTGTAAATTATAATAGAATATTTGTTCGATGAGCAGTATAGAAATCGTATCGCCAGTAGGTCTGTGATTGAAGATAGGATTGCTAGTACTCTGTACTATCATGTTATTTTCGCGGCTTGCTATAATTTTAAAAAAACTGAAGGAAGTGTAAAATGTTAGGGCGGGAAATGGAGAAGTGTTTAATGAGTTTAGAACTTTGTTGTCGTGCACTACTCAAGTGAGGACTACTTTTTAAAAATATGTAAAAATGTAGATTACTAAAAATGACGAGCATGCATAAGTGATAGGTCTAAAAACATAAATTATGAGTGACAAATTCACTCTTGAAAGTCTGGTGACATTGTCGGACTACATCTGTAGTGAGTCCCAAAAAAACTCCAAGCTACATGTTTAATTCGCCAAACTACGGTAAACACAATCCAAAATTCAAATCCAAAATACATGTTTTATTTGCCCAAATAGATAGACATTACACGATTCAAATGATGTGCAAAATACACATACACGAGAATACACGATCCAAAATACACGTCTTCACTGCACTTCCTTAAATTGACATACACGAGAATAACCAATTCAAATAGTACTAGTACAACTAACACATACAACCTTCTCGTTTTTCTGTTGCATTCACTTATTCTCAACTATATGCCTCACATGTACAATTGACTTCTCTTTGAAGTATCCCTATTTTTTGACAAAGTACAACAATCATTATCTTCACTTCATCTCGGGTTGCTCGCATGTTACCACCTCCAACTTTTTGATTTGAGTCCATATCATCCTTCCATATAAAACCCAAAGATGAAGAAAATTTAACTCTAACATTGGTTGACCAAAAATATTGACTTTGCATGTCAATTTGGGATGGAATGAGTATGAAAATTGATAAATTGTGTAGATTTTTGGAGGACGGCTAAACTTTAATTGTCTCTTAAACACTTGGAAAAAAATGACATTGTTTGGTATTGGTATGACATGGTACCACCCGTTTCAAAATGAAACTGTACCGAACGGGTTTAGGTCTAAGACCGAACCGAACCGTTTGAATAGTAACGGTACAGGTACGGGTTCGGCCAAATATTGGACCGGACCGGACCACGCCCACCCCTAATTTTTAGCTTTGACCCCCGAAAAGTTGAAAAATACTTTTTAAATCATTTGAGAACGCTGCCTAAAAATATGGTTATCCAATAATTTTAATTTATTTTTATATTTAAACTTGTGGTTTTGTAATTTAGAATGTTTTTACTTGGATTGTTTTTCAGTCGCAGACCAGACCAAACTTAAACATATCAGACCAGGTCAGATTAAACAGACTAGACCAGACAAGACTTTCATAGTTATAAAATACACAGAGATCGAACATTTACCAGACCAGACCAGACCAGTTCAGATTAGACCAAACTTAAATGAACCAGACAAGCAAATTAGTATTCAAATTACTCCATAGTTTGTACGTAAGTTTCCTTTAATTCTAGGGATGTCAAAAAAATACGGCCCGCAATGATTCGCCCTGGCCCGAGACATTTGGGGCGGGTCCGCCCCGCCCCGGCCCGCCTATACATTGGAGCGGGTCCGGGTATTAGTATTGACTCGTGTCGACCTGACCCGCTCAATATATAAGTATACATACTTTTTCTTAAATTATACTACAAATATATTTCGACATACATATGTGTGTACAATAAATCATAAATTCTTTGATCTTATAATATATTAATATATATTAGAATGAGATGAACGACGGATTATCAATGTCTTATATATATATATATATCAATTTAATACATATATTCAATTATTAATATAATTAAATATATTAACTATTCAAGTCTAAGTAAAATTTCCCTATTTTTGAAATTTTTAGCGTATCATGAATTTGATTTAATATATTAATTTTTGATAATTATTTAGAGATAAACTTAATGTAATTCAATTGGTAACAACTTCCCACAAATAAAAATAAAAATCAATATATATATGTAAGAAGAACTTTTTAAGAGCATACAAAGCGTCACATAATCCTGCCATGTCATTATATATAACAATTATTTACTTATTTTTATACCTTTTGTTTTTATTAGATTCTATTTTTATTGCATAATGATATGGAAACAAAAATCCTTATAAATCCACCTTAACTAATTTGGTAAGCTTCAAATAAGTAAAATAATTTTTGGTTATCAAAGTGAAATTCTAATAACGTTCATTGATATGGAAACTAATTTATATTAGTTTACTACACCGATTTAAATAGAAACAAATATGTAAATTAGTTTACTTATTAATTTGACACCTATTAATAAATTAGTAAGCTTCAAATAAGTAAATAATTAAAAATGAAACTAAAAATTATAACCAACATAAAGTATATATATTTTCACAAGTAAATATGTTTAGCTTAGCCCAATAAGTAATATTTTTTTTTTACACCTAAAATTCAAATATGCCTTCACTTTTGAAATAGATTCCTAATCCAAATTAGAAAATCTTTATAGGTTTACGAATTCCTGCTTTTATTTTAATAGAATGTTTTTAATTGGATTGATTTCAGTTCCAGATTAAATCAGATCATATCAAACTTTAATAATTACTCCCTCCGTCCCTTATAACTTTGTCAACTTTCTTTTTTTACTTGTCCAAAAAATTTTGTCACTTTCCCTTTTAATCAATTAATTTGTGGTTCCTGTTATTTCTCTCTCCTCTGCACAAACCTCTAAAACATAATTTTCAATTTATTATTCTACGTGTCGGTCAAACTTGGCAATCCTTTTAGGGACGGAGGGATTATAACAATAAGTCACATAAAAAACAGACATCTAATAGACCATATTAATTCACACCAAATCAAACCCAAAATTTTAATTCAATTAAAAACATTCTTATTAATGAGTAAACTGTAAGATCTAACAATTAAGAAATATAGATTTTTTTATTATTATTGGGTTCATAACAATTATGTTTACTTGAGATGCTTATGTAGAAGACCGTTTAACTTTTTTTTTTCATATATTTTTTTCTTTGTTTCACAAATGGAATATATTTCACATATATTTTTCATGATTCAGAAGATTCCACCTATTTAACCAAAATTCAATCAATTTCAGCAAAATAAGTTAATTCTATTTACTTTAGTATTATCAAACAGACTCCATATTAGACTAAGTTTATTTTTCTTTTAAATCACATTATATGTGATCTGATAGAAATTAAATTTCAAATTAGCTAGATTACATACTGCCCGTGCATCGCACGGGCTTGAAAGCTAGTACATACTAATGCTAAATAATTAGGTTACGGCGGGGCGGACTCATCCTGCATGAGATGGGTCATTAGTCAACAAGTTTGGACCCATACGGGTCACTGGGCGGGGCGGACCCGCCCCACCAAGTCACGAGGTAGGTCCGGGTCTTGTACCCGCCTTGACCCTACCCATTCCCCATGCCTACTTTCATCCGAGGCTCGACCGTACCCCATTAGCAGCAAGATGACTTGGGTAACAATATTCCCACTGCACTGATTTCGATTGGAGACATTAACCCGAGACAAGCCGGTTTCAATTCGTAGCCATCATCTAATCTAGGTTATTTTTATGGTTCAGTCCTTCGCTAATTCGTCCTGAGCTTGCTTCAACGCACTTCTCACTTCTCAATCAACCTCCACACTGCACCATATCTATAAACTATATAAATTTTCCAAGGTATGCTCTTTTCTTGTTCTTTCGATACACTGTCTGTGTTTTATTTTGATTGCCTTATACTTTCTTGTATTGAGTACCCGTGTTATCGTTTCTTTGTTCTAAACGCCTACAAATTAAAATGCTTATTTATTCGAGATACATACTGGGTTGATGCACAATTTGAAAATAAATGTGTCTTTACAATACGAAAACAGTGTAGTTTGCTCATCATTCTTCTTTCTGCTACAGATTTTGCTTGAAAGTGCAAAGGTAGAAGATGGTAATAAACTAATAATGTCAGATTATACGTACGTGTACAAAGTGTAATACTCATCTGCAGACTCGATGGCTAGCAGAAAGTTAGTTCGAGATTTTTTGTTCTCCACAAGACAACCCTTTTTTCATAAGCTATTAGAGCCTCATCAGGTTTCAAACTCCTTTCCCGCTCTTGGTTTTCTTAAACTTTCCTTTTTTATTGATTAATAAAAGCGATGGTTTTATTTTCTTTTTTATTTATAGGGATATAGATACGAGAGCAATCAACAACTCAGTGTATTCAATGAGTTTTCTCAGAAATTAAAAGGCAATGTTAACAGGTAAATGCTCTTGGAAAGTAGAAATGATTTATTTTAGTTCATTTGGCACTGACATGTTGGGTTAAACTGTTAAAGTTTGGAACTTTAATAGTAGTTTTAATAATTTATCTATTTGAAGTGCATATTCCTGAGTCCCAGGACCTGTGCCACATGAGTGTTCAGCTTTTCCAAAGGGGTATTTGGCGTTTTGGAATCATCTTTGGTCCAAAAAATGCCTTCTTTAGTAAAATATTTCATCCTTTAGAAGATAAGCATTTGATGGAGCATTTTGATAAAGCTCAAAACGCTTGCTAAATGCTGTAGTAAAAAATCAATGAAATTAAACTTCTTTATTTGATGTTTGTACTTTGCCATCTATGGATTAGAATAACATCTTACATCTCGTTTTTCCTTTTAATAATCTTGTAGAATTCAAAAATATCAAAGCACTCTAAACAAAGTATAACCAAACAACCATCCAACACTCATAAAAACATCGTTCTGAACCACAACATTTGCAAGCGTAGAAGTACATTTTGAAAGCACATCATTATCAATTATCAAATCAAAAACACATTTTCAAATCGATTATCGGACAGACCCCAAGAATGTTAAGAAAGACAAGCAAATAGAATTCTGGTTTTTACTCAAAGAAAACTTCACGAGGTTCCTTTTACTTAGTTTTTATGAGTAAATATTAGAGTTGTGAAGATGTCCTTTTCGAGTTTGTTCATATTTTATTTCATTTTAAAGTTATCAACTTGATTCTGAATCTCATGGGTTGTAGTAACAAGGAATTTCAACAGTCGGTCAAGGATCTGAAAGAGAAAGCAGAGGAGCTGAAAGGAGTCAAAGAAGATTTTAAAGCAAGGTAGCTTATGAACTTAAGTGCAACCATGTATTCTAAATTTCGTAGCCCTTTATTAGCTTACATGAAGTGATTAATTGGGAAGTGCAGAACAAAGCAGACTACTGAGAAACTTTACAAGCGTGTGGATGGTGTCTGGACAGAGGCTGAGTGTACGGCTAAAAAGGTAGGAAGTGGAATCTCCCTGGGGATTGCTTTAGCCCTTGCTTGGTTGGGGGGTTTTGAAAGGCAGGGGAGAGGAGAGGAGTAATATTTGATTTATTCATGTATGTTCATTGGGTTGTTGGAAAGACAGTGGACTCAAAAACCTAAATAGGAATACGTTATTTAACTATAAATATTACGAGTAGTTAGTATCAAATCTAACGCTAACAAATAAAGATAAATTAGTAAAACAAAAATGAATTATCCCCTCCCCTCCCCTATTGAAATCCCTTAACCTAACAAGCCTTAAGTGACTTGAGTTGTTGCTGGCTCCCCTTTTGTTTATCCCTTAACCTATCAAGCCTTAAGTGACTTGAGTTGTTGCTAGTTATTGTATAGATTGCAATCAAAAGGTGACGGGAAGTCTGGAAGCTATTGCCGATATGATGATTCTTTACAAATATGTGAAATTAGTTGCTGAGTGGTGCCTGTTTTAAGACATGATTTTGTCTCTGTCCTACAAAACTTCCTGCCTAGTTGTGACTCACGTCTGCTGAATTAAGAAATTTGGTGACATCCATTTCCACCATCTAAGATTCCACTTGCTAAGGCCTAAGTTGGCCTAAGTGACAGGAGTATGCTTAATATGTGGCTAAAATGGATGAATTTGTTAAATTTTCTAAAACATTTGTTCAAAATAAGTATCTCAAAGTGACAGTCCAATTACCAATTTTATTAATTTAAGTTGTATAAATTAAAAGTAATTTCAATGGTACTTTTTTACGTTGTCAGAAGATTCAGCTGGTGGTTATGTATTAAGTGAGATAAGTTAGTCTTTGGTTAAAACTTAAAAATATGGCTGAAAACCCTAAAAATTACCAAACGGGCAATAAGTTAGTGAAATGTACTTAGGATGTTTTTACTTGGACTAAAATTTGCTGGTCTGGTCTGATTTGGTCTGGTAAATGTGTGGTCGCTGTGTATTTTATAACTATCCATGTCTGGTCTGAACTGGTCTGGTCTGGGACTGAAAACATTCCAAGTAAAAACATCCTTAATCTACTCATTCTGCTCATAAGCAGAATAAGACATATTAAGCTACCAAACAAAGCCTTAGTCTTGCAAATGCAACAGTCTGACTTACCCCTTCCAGACCCTACCAAGGTGTTAAAATCCAGCCCGACTCTTCCCCAGCGTCTAATGGTCATCTCATTTTAAAGTTTTTCATATAGCATTCAATATCTTCAATACAGTAATTGGTTTTCTTACATTTTTTACTACAGGCATATGCTAACATGGGGGAAAAGGTGTCTGCTGCCAAGGAAGAGGTTTGTATATCTCTGTAGGTGTTGGTATTATTACCGTACACTAATAATTAGTAAGCACTCTATAAATTTGCAGGTCAAAGAAACTTTTGGATTCAGGAAGCAAGAGTCTAAAGGGTCAAATTGTAATTTCGACAATTCCAGCTCAAAACCCAAAGATGAAACAGTCTATGGAAAGTTTAAGGATGCTGCTTCTTCAATTTCTTCAAAGGTCTCCCCATCCATACAAAAATTAAAGGAAGCAAAAGTAGTTGATTTAGCTAAGAAAGGGTATGGTATTATCGTGGATGAGTTGAAAGGTACTGCAAGAAAGAGGAAACACCTTGAAGCCCCCATAGATTCTGGCCCCAAAGTGAGCGTTCAGCATAGCAGGAGGACCGATGTCACTATTTTGCCCTCAAAAGAATCCATATGGAGTAGGAAATGGGAAGCTTTCAAGGAAAAAGTAATTCGCTCTTGCCACTATATGTAGAGACCATTTGGGGTGACTTAATTTAAGAAACGATTTCTCCCCTGAGGTTAACGATCTGTTTGGATGGAGGCTTTTGGAGGGGTTTGGATTGAAAAGGCCTAGTATATATCTTGATAATAAATAGAATGTTTGTGAAAATGAATAAAAGGTAATTAAAATGCAAAATGATCACATATTATGTTAATCTTCCTGTTTTTATAAAATATCATATACATATCAAGATATACACTAACCCCTACAGTGCCTTTCCCTTCAAACGTCTCCAAAACCCTCAATCCATACATATTGATATTCTAAAGGCATTTCCCCAAAAACCATCCATCTAGAAGTTTTTCATATAAACAAAAAATTGCTCTTTTTATTCTTTTCATCAAAAGCACTTGTTCCATTTTTACACTAAACATTTTTTAAGCGAGTACTTTTCTTCCTATGAAAAAACACTTATTCCTTGAAAAAATGTCATTCCAAATGCATTTTTATTGTCCTTTATAATTTTTTTTTGAAGATTTATGTGACTTATTCTTCTCAGATGCAAGGTCACCGCATCTTTAAGCACATCAGGGGGGCAAGTGAACCTGTTGTTACAAAGAGTCAAGAGGTTTGTTAAGCCACTGAATCCTAATATAGTTATATATACTTTGTTTGGTAAGCATGTGATGTAGAGAAGGGTGTGAGATGAAAGGAAATGGAGGGAGGGTAAATGAGGGTAGATGTATGTGAATTATTTGGAAGAAGAGAAATAAGACGGAAAAATAAGAGAAGAATGTGCGCTTTTGGCCTATTGCTAAAGTGGCAGATTTACCATTTAATTAAAAAGTCTTAAAAATAGAAAGACAATGATGTAAAAAGCTCCTCTTTACCATTATTTTTCCCATGGAGAGAGAATATTCTAAAGGCAGCAGGGCCCACGGCCTTTTCTTTCTCTATCAATCAGTGTCCTGATTCATATGCTGACTGAAATGGACAGATTGCAGAAGATATTCGGGAAAGATGGGAGACCAGTGATCATCCAGTGGTAAACAAAATCCAAGAGTATGTTACGATTATTGATTGACCTATATTTAGGCTTCTAAGTTCTAATAGCAAGTACTTTATATGTTTGTTTTAATTATCCACTTTGATGCTACAGTTTAAATGAAACCGTCTTTGGGGAATCAAGCGCTGCATTGTCATTTAAGGAAATACGCCGCAGAGATCCGTATGATTAATTACCTCGTTTCCCCCCTTATTTTATGGAAACTTTCCCCTTTTTGTCCATGACTATTTACTCATTCCCATGTTTGGCCCTCCACTTTCATTCCTTTTGCTTTTGGTGAACAACTATAAATTTCTTGCCACATTTAATCCTTTCCAATCACTTATCTTGTGAAAGTAAATGAGAAATTGGCCAGATAAGTGCTTGAAAGAATTAAAAGTGACACAGTTGTGCACCTAAAGCAGGTGGAAAACCAAAGACCTGAAAGTGATTTTTCCTAAGTCCATGGTTTCACATTGACTTGTCGTGTTAATCTGAAGCCGGTCTTTCTTTTAGGACATTCTCATTACCAGATTTTGTTTCTGAGGTCCAAGAAGTTATCAGACCAGTCCTTGAGGCGTTCTATAAAGTGAGTTAAAAGCCTTGGCTCATTCAATGCTCATATCTTTTACATTAATGGGTTCTTCTTCGTTAATGCATTTTAATTTATTCTCACGCTGTCTTTAGGGTGACATCAAAGTACTTCAAAAATATTGTAGCTCCACGATGGTCGAGAGGTGTAAAGCAGAGCATAGGACTTTCATGTCCCAGGGTTATGTTTTTGATAACAAAGTAAGAAAATGAAGTACACCATGATGCCAATTGACAGATCATATTTATACATGTAATTTATATTATTTAGAATGAAAATATAAGATCTCTAATAATAATATTGTCTAAAGTGGAAACTTGTTTTTGAAAATGAAGACTGCTAGAACAAATGGCGTTTCCAGTAATTTCAATATTTTTTTGGATACATCGGGAAGGATATGAGACTGGCATTTCCAGTAATTTTTAATATGCATTTTTTTGTTAACTAAAAATCGAAACAGTACTGCTAAATACATTTCTTTTTCCCCCACTTTCAAGAGATGTGTAAACAAGATTGTTTCCAAACGAAACTGGAGGTTCTGTACTTGCTAATGCTTGTCTCTTTCACTTTGCATGGTAATTTTGGTTCACTGATTTGATTCCCCTTTATATGTTTGCAGATCCTTCATATTTCTGAAGCCGAAGTCCGTGAAACAAAATTGATGGGAGAAACTCCTATCATCATTTTAGCGGTGAGGCACATATTTTTAGCATCTAGATAAAATATACTATCGTACGTAGTAATGTTCTGCCAATAATACTGAGTTTGTTCTTTTTATTGCTGCAGTTCCAAACACAGCAAGTCTATTGTCTACGCGATAAGTTGGGTTCCATAACTGAAGGGGGAAAGGCAAGCCATGGAAACACATTTATTTATCATTTTCTAGAAAGTGCATTTTCATACTATCATTATTTTTTCGCACTTCAGAATAAAGTTTATCATGACAAAAAATCAAAAGTTCTGTCAAAGGATAAACATCTACCCAAACACTGTTCTAAAAACACATCATTGTCAAATCACAAAGCATGTTTTCAAATCACTCTCAAATACTATCCTACTCTGATTCTCCATGAAACTGCTTTCTGACCTATTTCTTCTGTGAGGTGGTTCAGGATGCAATTCACACAGTGTACTATGCATGGGCAATGGAACTTGTGGATACAGAAGATGTTCATCCTCCTCTATGGCGGCTTAGAGAGATGCAACAGTTTGGGGTCGCCGCCCTTATCTAACACCATTGTTTTTATTCTTGTTGTTTACGTCTCTTTAAGCTGTTGTATTTTCTTTGAGTGGAGAAAATTTTGGCGGATAAACATTTTTTTGTTCTTCATAACTGAGCTGTTGAGTCCAGTTTGGGGGTAGCCAGCTATTTGTAGGTAGTGGGGTCAAGTTCAAATCCCTCCCTTTTGTCTCAGATGTGATGCGCCAAAGACAAAAATGAATAAGATGAAGTCTCCTGTCTCTACTATCCATATAGATATAATGCAGGTTATTGAATCTTGGCTAATGGGGATGATGAGGTGTTATGTTTTTTATTTTCCATAATTCTTTTGCTCCAGTTATTTTCCATATGTAATAAACGGAAAAGTTTCCCTCCATCAGAGCTTTACAGTTAAATTTTAAACGCAATGTATGATAGAATGTGGTTATGAATGGGAGTGGCAAAACGGAAAATAGAAAAATAATGAAAATAATAAATGGGAGAAGTATACTTTGCAGTTAGCACTTTTATTTGACTGAGTTTACATATTTTTATGCCCTACAAGTCATCGGGAGACCCCCGGGATGTGCTCGTGTTGCATCGGATCACATCAGAAGTAAAGTGTGCTTAGGCAAGAGTAGTACTAGGATGAGTGATCCCAAGGGAAGTAATCGTGTTGCATCCCATGCCCCCTTTTGTTTTTTTCGGATTGATATCTTATCACCCTTTTCCCCTCATCTTCCTTTTCTGTCTTATGTTTTTAATTTTTATTGTTTTATCCCTTTTTCTTTATATGTACGAAGTATATTCTTTTTACCCCTTTTATCCTATCATTTTTATGTATATCTTATTTTATTTTATATGATTTTTCATTTTCTTTTGACATCATGTATTGATTTATGTTAGTCTTTTGGGACTAAAGTTTAAATGTTGTAGTTTGGTATTGGACTATCCAGTATCCAGTTTGAACTTTGAAACATCCTTCACGTTCAGTAATAGCACTTCTGGTCTGCTCATTGGCCAGTTTTTTAGTGTAAAAAGTCCTGGAACTCATATTTCTTCTGGCCCGCTTTCACGCTTTGGATCTATAGGAGAACCAGAACTAATTTGAGTCGGCTATTAGTGTTGGATTTTGGCTTAAAACTAAAATCTGGTTTTTATCTTTCGGTTAAAAAATTGATCAGTCCCGGCCAGCCGGCCTTATTCTGGAAACATGACCAGGTTTGCTCTTTTTTACTAAATTTCATTCACTTGAGAAGTATGGACAATTCAAATTTGGTTTACGGTTATTCTTTGAAAGTTATAAATTTGGAGAGAGACTATGAAGAAATTATTATTAAAATCATTTAAGAAGTATGAAGAATTTAAAATGTTGAATTTATATTCATTTTAAATTGAGTTAAAATTATCTTTTACAAATATTTTTCAAAATTCAATTTGGTAACTTAAAAATTGGACATTTAAAGGGTTTTGTTGGGCCCCATAAGAGTCCAGAACCATCTTCTAGCTTTCCCAAACATGGATTCTTCCTTTTGCGTCATGCTAAATTTTAGTTTTTTATTTGACATTACTAAATCAGTTTTATTTTGCCCATTAGTGGAGACACATGATTTTTTATGTTGACATATTACTTTTTGTCAATGTAATGTTTTTTTTTTGTTGCTTTCTTCTAAATTCTAATGATACTTTTTGGTTGGAGTCGAAGTTGATTTCAAGTTTACAATCACTTAATCTTATTCCAAATAAATGTATTAGCGAGTCCTAGATTGCATGGACACACAATTACACGTATATGCGATAAAGCAAGTTTGAAAATATAAAATATAAACACGTAGCATTTTTGGAATAAGAAATATACTTCGGTATGAGTTAATTTGAAAAAAAGAACTTAAATTAAATTTATTTGGGAAAAGCACGGAAAATGAACATGTGATTGAGCCCGTTTTCACTTTTCATATAGGACTATAGGAGTATGTGTTCCACATCTTAACAAAGTATGTCACATGTTTCAATTCCATTATCACACAAAGAGACAGCTGAAAGTCTGACACTGTTAGTCGATAGAAGTTGTCAGAAGAAGACAATGGACAACAACTTCGATTTTCAAAAGTATCCAAAAAAACAAAAGAAAAATACCGGGAAGTGTGTCTCATCAAGGAGACTTTCAAACCACCTTCCTCTCGATATTGGATCATTTTTAAACACAAATTCGCTAATAGCAGTTTCAATACATTCCGAAATCGAGAACTTTCTATGGACGCTACCCGAGAATAATTAGCCGATCTAGATTTACAAATGATTGCAGAAAATTCCGTATTTGAAAATAGCTTTGGGATCCTCATTTTGGTCAACCGACCGTCGAAACTTTTACTAGAGAGGTATATTTTACGTCCGAGAGGGGCTCAAATTGGAGATACCATTGTTTCTGCTACAGATGTTTCAATCAAAATAAGAAATGGCCTACCTTTGACAAAAAATATTCTATCAAATGAAGGTATTCGTGATTGGATGGCCACTCAAGATCAGTCTCATGAAAATCCTATATTTCTATATATACAATTATGAATTGGGCGAATACTTACCTGGAAAAGAGCAAAAACCTAAAAAAGTAGATTCCGAGAATATGAGTTCGTATTTACCATTTTTTACTCGAGAAGAGCTAGAAGTTGAAAGCCTTTTATGATAACTACTAAGAGAAGGAAAAGTTAAAGAGACAAAGTCTTCATTTAAGTTGAAAGCCTTTTGTGGTAATTAAGAGGAGGAAAAGTTAAAGAGACATAGTCTTCATCTTCACTTCAAATGATTGACCGTTTAATTTCTTCAATACCACCAGTGTAATAATTTGCATCTCTCGCATTCACCAGTTGCTACTTTATCTCTAAACAAAGATTCATACTCTGTAGTAAACTTGAAACATTTTCACATTCTTGTCTTTAAGTTTGCACATTGAGGATCCTCCTATTAACAGAAATCAACTTGAAACACAACTTCTAACAACATAAATTAAAGTGCAGCTTTTAACTTAAATAGAATGCAACTATTTTAGAATCTGCCTTAGAAATTGCATTTCATCATCCAACTAACAGTTAAAAAGAATACAACTTTCAACTTAAAAACTGCAATTTAAAAACACGGTGCAGCTACTAACACAAAGTATTTTTAAAAAGTTCTGATTTTATAAACACAAACAGTTGTTAAAGATGTAACTTATAACTTCAAACCTACACTAATAAACAATTGTTTTTAAAAACCAATTGCAATCAGTATGCAAAAACTATTTTATAAAACTGCATTTTAGTATAGCTGCATTTCAAAACTTCATATACCTGCAATTTTTAAAATTGCACTCAAGTATGCTTTATGCAAAAATAAATGAAAGATTTGTTCTCAAAAATTAATAAAGCTTTCCATTACTTGTTCATCTTATACCAACGACTCTCAAGTTGAGTTTTGCTAAATGTTCTACTCCGTATTTGTTTATTTTTTAGGTTAGCAATCAAGTTTTTCTACCCAACCTATTAAATTGGCCACCCGGCCTATTTCCATTTCACACCTCAACAAAACATATATTGCATACATAAATGAGTTGCATGATCCAATGAATTTTGTTGGGTGTCACTTTTCCGTTTCCCTTCATCATAAAAAGTGCTAAATTTATGAGATTACATTGCATACCTAATTACCTAAATTTAATATACTATTACTAATGTAAGTTCAAAGTTATACTTCACATTATCTGAATTCATCAAACTCAATGTCTGCATTCACCGTTTTATATAGGTTAGTATGCAAGACTACAAAGTACCGACTAAAATAACTTCTTATATGAGCATCACAGACACCAAACATTTCACATAATCCAGCAAATAGAATTGAGAATTAGTCACCCCATACAACTAAAATATGTATGAAGGGTTTGAATGCACATTCTATAAATGGATTTTGTATAATGATTGAATATAAGTAAAGAGAAACATAAGATTCACATAACCAGATGAAGCTTTTCATCGTTGTAGCATCATCCAGCTGGTTGTGTTGTTCATTCATTAATCATTACTATCTATAGAATCGATAGTTAGGATATATGAACCTCTAAAATTATAAATCCTAAACCGAATCGTCATAGGGTTAGTCAGTTTCGATCCGATTGAGGTTTTAATCCAAAAGTATAAACCCAACTACCACATGGTCGGTTTCGATCCAAAAGAAAAAACCCAACATGTGTTTTTCAAAAACATTACTAAAATAAAACTTATTTACACAAATATTACTATGATTACTACAATCAAGTGTCATAGTAAATTAAGTTTAAAACTTGAACATAAGTTATTATTATTACATTACTACACTAATCACTAGTAACATTTTTGTGAACAATTTAAGAGGCCGTTTGGTAGCACAAAAATTGATTGTTTTGGTTGATTCTGCTGAAATGTACGAAGTTCTGGCTGAAGTGGCTGCATTAGCTAATTCTGCTGATTTAAGAAAAAATTATTTTTAAAATATATTTTATTATTAAAATAAAGAAAAAATTATACGTAGTATGTAAAACTAGCTAAAATGATCGTCTACAGTAACTTCACCCAATACGAAAAGTAACTCCAACCTTACTTTTTCTGCTTATTACACAATTCAGCGCGCAAAAAAAAAGATTATGTGTTTAGTGAAAAAGTTGGCTGATAAACAAAAAAATAGGGTTACCAAACTGTCTCCTATTTTACTAATAATTACAGTATGTAATTATTTCTTGAAAAATCTATCACAATCCAAAGTTCCGTACAAGAAATTAGGATGCCCCCAAAAATCGGAAAAAAATGACTGAGTAAGAATTCAGATTTGACGGTGTTACAGAGGAAGCGACCTGACGACCATCGTCGATCGACTAAGTCGCCAAATCGCCGACAAAGTCACAGAGCGAGCTAGCGACGGTTCTACGCCTTGGCTCCCTGCCCCTTCGGACTTTTGTTAAGCCTTCTGACTTCGTGACTTCTGGTGCTCGGTGGCTGGGTGCTCCTGCACTGACTTCTGATCTTCTAACTTCTGTGGACGAACGGAGATGGACTTGCGAGGCTGCGATTTCGCCCACTCCCCAGGCGCCCAGCCCCTTTGGTCCTAACTCCCTAATCCTTTGCCGCCGCTCTCACCTTTTGGTACCGCACTCTCCTTTTAACTCTTGTAGCCTAGTATGTTGAATCATTTGATTAGTTCATTAGTTTATAGGTGTTGAATGTTGATAAATGCTTAGTTGATGGTTATATGTTGATTAGTTCATATTCATAAATCATAGTTGTTGATTGTTGCCTGTTAATTTGTTCTACACTTGTTGAATATTGATACAACAACAAGATCCAAGACTTAGTTCCAAAAGATTTTGGGGTTGTCTAACACGAATAGATACATGATACTATCGTATATGATAAAGGTAAAAAAGATATGATAAACATAATTATAAGATAGAGATAAAAATGATAACATAAA